GATGGAGGGCAAAAGAAGAAGGGGACAGCAGAGAAGGAGGTGGCTGGATGGAGTCACCGAAGCAGTCGGCGTGAGCTTAAATGGACTCCAGAGGATGGTAGAGGACAGGAAGGCCTGGATTCTCCATGACCACTAGATGACAGCAGAGACATAGAGATGTCTAACAAAATATCACTGCTGCCATCTAGTGGTCAGCTCAGCCTACACACAGTGAAGGGGGCTCTTCTTTGCTACTTCCATCCAATCTTTTATCTCCACCTACTGCACAATCTTACACAAATCCCTATGTTCTTTGTGGGCATGCACCAGCCCCACAACAGACCTCAAACAGGTTTGATTTTTAAAGAAGAGAATGCCCTAACAGGTTCTGCTGCAGGGATGAAATCCAGCAGGCTCTGACAAGTTCTGGAGAACCGGTACTGGAAATTTTGAGTAGTTGGGAAAACCGGCAAATGCCACCTCTGGCTGACTCCAGAGTGGGGAGGGAATGGAGATTTTGCAGTATCCTTCCCCTGGAGTGGGGAGGGAATGATTTGCAGTATCCTTCCCCTGCCACACCCACCAAGCCACACCATGCCCACAAAGCCATGCCCAGAGAACTGGTAGTAAAAAAAAAATTTGAATTTCAACGCTGCTAGGCTGTCCTTGACTGTACTGATAACACAGCTCGGCCTCCCGAAATCACCAAGTGATTGCATCAGCTATTTCAGCAAGCCTATTTATGCAAAACCCAGGAATACGCTGGACTAAATGCCACTGGCATTCGGCTATGTCCTCCAACTCAATAAGTTAAAGTGGATCTTAGATATGATCAGCTTCAATAATAGCACCAGAAGATTAGCTTTCAGATTTTTCCCCCCGTTTAAAGACGCTGAACTATTTCTTGTAACCATCAAGCCATCTGTATGATTCATTCCAAGCATATTTTAAACAGAGCGCAGAAACAAAAAGTACTTAGTGCTAATTTCTTTTGTTTTGCATCGTTTTTAATTGGAGATCTTGTCTCCCTAAAACCACGTGCTCGGCTTAGCAAGATCGGGGCTCTCCAGCTTGCAGACAGACAAAATAAGACATTGTCTCAAAAATTGTTTCCAAGGATGCTTCAAGAGACAGATGCCAAACTGTCCACCCTCTCAAACATTCCCTCTGTTTTTAAACCTCTCTGGATTATCCTGCTCAGAGAAGAGGGAAAGAGGGATGTTAAATGCTAAATTGCTAAGGGCTGGTTTCAAAATGCAACATTTCACTAGAATAAGATAAGAATCAGATTTTTTGCTCCCACGGAAAATGCTGTCCACATTTTCTTTCCTACTAATACCCCGGCTTTAAGAAGCCAAAAGTCAGGAAATTCCCACTGGAAAAAGGAATGCTGCATTTCTGGGTAAAAATAGCAATAGCAGAGTTGGAAGGGATCTTGGAGGTCTTCTAGTTCAACCCCCTCCTCAAGCAGAAAACCCTATACCACTGTTTCTCAACCTTGGCAACTTGAAGATGTCTGGACTTCAACTCCCAGAATTCCCCAGCCAGCTGGCTGGGGAATTCTGGGAGTTGAAGTCCAGANTAGATATTTAGCAATGTAGAGCACATGCAGTGCTCACTTAGCAAGTACAATAATTAAGACTGGTAACTGGCATTAAGCAACATAGTTGTTAAGTAAAACATCATTGAGGCTTGTGACATCAGTTCCAACTTGGTCATTAAGTGAGTCATTATTCCGGACAATTGTTCTGTGATGATTTGTTAGCATGTAAATATTTCCACCGTGCTGATTGTATAAAGTTCTCCAAGCATTCATTCATTCATGCATCTGTGAGGGTAGTTTATTCACACCTCAATCCTAAGTGGGAATCTCAAGAGGCTTAAAATTATTGATGAACCCCTACCACAAGATTTGAGCTTTTTCATCATACCTACCTGTCCCATCTTCCAAGTGCCCGAAATTACAGATCTGAGTTATATGGTGGATCCACACGTGCATCTCCTCCTCTGATTTGGCCACCAGGTAGAAGGTGCGGTAGGTTGTTTTCACAACGAAAACAAAGTTATTCTGGAACTCCTTCTTGATCAGGTGGGAGCCCGTGTGCTTCACCACTTCACAGTCGTTCAGATCTATCACCCGGATGGGCTTCTTGGAATGACTGTTCCGATAATATTCCAGCACATCCGGATTGCCGCTCATCCGGCCTTGACGTAACACGAACCAGCGTTTCCGCCAAGCCTGAGGAATAAGGAAATAATAATAATAAGAAAAATGATTGAGAGAAAAAAAGGAGAAAGATACTCCCTTAGCCCTGACCCAGAGGTGGTATTCAGCCATTTCTGATGGGTTTTGGAGAACCGGTAGCGGACGTTTTGAGTAGTTTTGAGAACCGGCAAATAGGCTGGCTGCGCCCCTGCTGCCTCCCAGCTAATCTTCTTCTGTTGTCCTGCACAGGAGAACGGAGCTGGGGAGCAGGTTAGTGAGGTGGGGAGGGAATGGGGGGATTTTGCAGTATCCTTCCCCTGCCATGCCCACAAAGCCACGCCCACAAAGCCATGCCCATAGAACCAATAACAAGAAAATTTGAATCACACCACTGGGCTGTTATAACTGAATGGTCACAAAAACAAACTGATATAAGTCAAGGACTACCTGTATTACTAAAATTCTCATTAACCCTTAACTGGACAAAGCAGTGCATCATAAGGCAATAATTTTTGGACTGGAGTACATCAAATGGGCTAACTTAAGAATGTGTCCAAAATCCAGGACCCATGGCACTTGAGGGAATTAAATTTGGCTGCTTCGGTTAAGACACATGACCTTCACTTTCAGAGTTCCATGACAGTTTCCCATCCACTCTGGCAATCCCTTCTCTTCCTCTCTTATCCACCAGAAGCCACTTACCCAGAGGATGGAGAGGGGAGGGAGATTTCTGATGCTTCTTGTCTGATTCCCTCAAGGAACCTCAAAGGGGAAACTGGCAGGAAATCAAAAGCCACTGCTGCTTCCACTGCTTTTTTGCCTATCCTTGGTCATTCTGTTGTCCTGTTTAGATTCATCTCTGAAATGATGACCCAACGAGGCACAGCTGTCTAATTGTTGTTGGTTGCAAAGTCATATCCAACCCATCATGACCCCATGGACAATGTTCCTCCAGGCCTTCCTGTCCTCTACCATCCTCTGGAATCCATTTAAGCTCACGCCTACTGCTTCGGTGACTCCATCCAGTCACCTCATTCTCTGTCATCCCCTTCTTCTTTTGCCCCCCATCATTCCCAGCATTAGGCTCTTCTCCAGGGAGTCCTTCCTTCTCATTAGGTGGCCAAAGTATTTGAGTTTCATCTTCAGGATCTGGCCTTCTAAAGAGCAGTCAGGGTTGATCTCCTCTAGACTGACCGGTTGGATGGCCTTGCAGTCCAAGGGACTCGCAGGAGTCTTCTCCAGCAGGAGTGTTCAAAGGCCTCCATTCTTTGGCGCTCAGCCTTCCTTATGCTCCAACTTTCACAGCCATCCATTGCAACTGGGAAAACCTTGACTATACACACTTTTCTAGGCAGGGTGATGTCTCTGCTTTTGAGTATGCTGACTAGATTTGCCTAGCTTTTCTCCGCCGGAGCAAGTGTCTTTTAATTTCTTGGCTAAAAGAAAATTTTAATTTCTTGGCTAAAAGAATGCTGCACCCCAAATCGGTTGCTGGAAGTGGAGATCCTTTTTTAAAAAAAACAAACCAGCCTGTATTTCTTAACTGATCCTTGAAGTTGAGAGACATAGTCAATTTGAAACTTTTTCTTTAATCAAAGCAATCAATTTAGCCACTTTGTCCTTGTGGTGGAAAAAAACCCCCCGAAACTTTAATTTTGAGTTTTGCTGATTAGATGAGTTTGTTGTTACCAAAATAGCTAGTATATATTTTTATGTAAAAGNTGGCCATCTAGAGAGCAGTCAGGGTTGATCTCCTTTAGGACTGACTGGTTTGATGGCCTTGCAGTCCAAGGGACTCGCAGGAGTCTTCTCCAGCCCCAGAGTTCAAAGGCCTTAATTCTTTGGCACTCAGCCTTTCTTATGGTCCAACCTTCACAGCCATCCATTGCAACTGGGGGAAAAACTGCCTTGACTATACGCACTTTTCTTGGTAGGGTGATGTCTCTGCTTTTTAGTATGCTCTCTAGATTGGCCTTAGCTTTCCTACCCAGGAGCAAGTGTCTTTTAATTTCTTGAACTTAAATAAAGAATGAAATATATTCTCCTGTTTTTGAAATCGAGAATTTCACCCATTCCAGTACCTGTGAAGCCAACAAGCATATATTGGAACTTCTGAGATATCGTTGTTAATTATTGAACACTAGGAAATAATTTAGCTGAAGGTTTCGTAGATATGCCTGGCTAAATCTCAGCTCTAATTTAGAAAACATAGATTTTAACTTAACGATCTCTTAATAGGGGCATAGAATATATGAGAGTACACACACACTGGAAGACAGAAGGGAAAGGGTTGATTGAAACCTTTAAATATATTAAGAGTGTGTGAATAAGGGTCTAGAAAGCAATATTTTCAACATTAAGCAAAAATCAAGAACACAGGGGCATAACTTCAAACTGACAGGAGATACAAGTTCAAGTTCAAAATTAATGTTAGCAAGTATTGCTTTGCTGAAAGACTAGTGGAAGCTGGGAACTGACCTCCAGAGGAGACAGTAGCGGTTCAGCCTTCACTAACTGGATTTAAACATGCTTAGTATTAGCACGTGTCCATCAACCAACAAAAATTTAAAAGAATAAAAATATATATTTTTTAAAAAAATAAATAAATACATCAATTAGAAAGAAAACAAGAAACAAACAATTACCTCCAAGGGAAGACCTGATGTTCCATTAGGTCTTTTTCCTGCCCTCCGTTTTCGATGTTTCTATGTATTGAAGGGACCTTATAGATTGTCAAATTCAGCCACCAGCTCAGCTGCAGACATCCATTAAAAACCCCAGGCACTGAACCGTTCAGACCCTGTTTGAAAAGCTCTGAGGAGAAAGAGGCTACCTGTATAGATTGCTCCGTTGCTAAACAGACTTACCAGTTGGAAATTTTTTCTCAGTATTAAAATTCCTTGTATATTCAATCACAGCCAATAAATCTATTCTGTTCTATTCCGTTCTTTGCTATGCTGTGCTGTTCTACTCTATTCCATTCCATTCTATTCTATTTCATTCTATTCTGATTCTATTTTCTATTCTATTCTATTTTCTATTCTATTCTATTTTCTATTCTATTCTCTATTCTATTTTCTATTCTATTTTCTA